AATAGCTAATCTTTTACTCAATAGCTACCCGCAGGAAATCCTCCCTGATCCTAAAACTGCATTTGTTCATTAGATGCTCCTGGCCTGTGTTCCCATTGTATCTATATCCTAACCCAGTTATAATCTTATTACATTGTTATCATTAATGCTTTTTTAAAGTTTTAGTATTCATCACTAGAGTGTAAATTCTTTGTAGACTAGCAAGCCTCTCGTTAACAATTATAGCCCTAATGTCTACCATTTGTACAATCAGTACTTTGTAAGCACTCAGTAGTTGTTCATTGAATGTAAAAATGAACAATACATGTGAAAGGTGAAGCTAGATAGGTCTAATGATGCTTAGATCCTAGGAAAGGGCTTATGGTTCATGTTTCTGACAGGAGATTATTTAGGTAGTTTGTTTAACCATTTCACGTGACCAGTGTGTTAATGCCTGAATTTAATTTACTCGTTCTGTGTCGTCTTTAAAGCCAAACTTTTCAGTAAAACGAAACCAAACAAAAATACACCCCCAGCAGTCTGTATTTCAGCTCCCTACCCCCACCAGATAACCTTTTTTTAAAACATTTTATGTTTGTGGGTACACAGTAGGTATATATATTAAGGGTATATGAGATATTGTGATGCAGGCATACAATGTATAATAATCAGATCAGGGTAAATGGGGTATCCATCACCTCAAGCATTTATTACTTCTTTGTGTTACAAACATTCCAATTATATTCTTTATTTTAAAGTGTACAATAAATTGTTGGCTGTAGTCACCCTGTTGCACTATCAAATACTAGATCTTATTCAACATATCTAACTATACAAAATTATCTTAAGTTTGAATTATAGAGGCGTTTTCACAGTAGCAACCAGTAGGTACTGACACCATCACTGACAATAGCTATAGGTCACACTCTGTGTTTCTGAGTGACAGCCAAACACAGTAGATACTCACGTCACCACCTAGTTTATCTTCAAATATGAAGGACTCCAGTGACACTCCCTTTTACTCCTTGCATCTTTGGTAGTAAAGATGAATCTTTGTCATCCCCAGGACCTCGTCTTTTTGTTTGTTTGGTATGTGGAATGAAATGATTCAGGTGCCTTCTTTCAATTATTTAAGTTGTATAGTAAGATCAACTGTAGAATACTATCAGGCATCTTGGAATAATATCTTTATCATCATCCAATTGATGCTTCTTCCAGTTTTGTTTCCTGTTGCTGTCACTCAATCTCTGTCATTAATTGCACTAAAATAATAATTCTCTATTGTGTCCTGACATATTGTTTTGTTACAATTATTTGGAAGATCTTGTTACTACTGCACATTAAACAACAATTCTAAGGTATGTGAATTGTTTAATTTTAAAAAGTGTAGTCATTCTTGCTTATTTCCATTCTGATCTTCATATAGGAGTTAAAGATGGAATTATAGCTAACCGCAGTGATGAGAAATTCATGGTGAACAGTGCCACATACCCTTTCACTCTCTCCCTGCCCATTTAGACCTCCATAATTATTAATCGTTATAGTGTGCTTTCTCAATGCAACCTACTGTCCAGTCTCAGCACAGCGAGTACTTCAGATCATCACTGCTTGTCAGGTTTAGCCCTCAAGATGCCAGGACTAGCTTTCCTTATATAGTTCCCACTTGTTCACTTTGCACAAAATACCTGTTTACATATCTATGCCCTAAGGTTTGTCCTCACATGGTTATTTCTGAGCTCATATTTTGGGTGCTATTTATCCCTCTTCCGTGCTGTTCTTTGTGGTGTCTACTAAACAAAACTTGTAATGATGTGGTAACAGTAAACATTTATGAGTGGTTCTCATGATGTAGCAGGTACTGCATTAAGTACCTGACATGTATTATTTCATTGAATTCTTTTACTAACACCAAGAGTTAGGGCCCATTGCTCTTCTCATTTTATAGATGAAGAAACTAGGGCAAGGCTAAATAATTGGTAAATGGCAGAGCCTGAGTTTGAATCAAGGCCACCTGACTTCTGAGCCCAAATTGTTAACCTCTGAGGTAGCCCTTAAAGAAGGTTGGGTTAAAACCAAACTGATTGATAGTGAACATACTGCTTTTGCCTATGTTGGCACTGGCTAGAATGAAAACCTTTTCCTTTATGTTTTCCCAGATTCCAAACTAACTTGGCCTAACCTTTCAAGTCTCTAAGAAATTTATAGTTTTATATCTATTAAAAAAGTCTTCTGGTAGACTTCATAAATATGACTTAGGTTTTTATTAAACTCTTTTGCTCGTATCTTTCTATATCTCAGAAAACCTTTAATTTTTGAGACAGTAGCTATTTGTGTAGGCTGTCTTATACGTTCACAGATGGCATTATTTTATCAGTCCTCAAACCATCTGTAGCATCAACTTAGTCTATTCCAATTGGTGTCATCTTTCATTTATGCAGGAGTGAGTTATTAAAGTAAAATTTTATATTTGTATAACATTTTGGGTAAATGTTAGAGTAAAACATCGGTTTATTTTATCACAACAATCCTTTGCAAAGAAAATTTATTTTTTCCAGCTCATCTTGATTTACTTTATATGTAGTCTTCGGAATGAAATTGAATCAAATAACTGTTTATTGAGCACAAATTATTATCTTGAAATGTAAGGATAAGAAATGACCCCTGTGTTCACTGAATTTATAGTCTTGTAGGAAAGACAGTGAAGTAGTAAATTCCCATTGAAGAAGAAATACAGTTATGATTACCATTATGAGAAGAGAAAAGATGGTAGTATGGGAAATGATAGTAAAGGGATTAAGTCTGGTCTAGTGAATCTAGAAAGGCCTTTCAGGGGAAGAGTGGGTAGGAGTTCACCAGACGAAGTGTAGCTGATGGGTGATAGGGAAGAGGAAAATAACATTGTAGGCAAAGTAAGCAGCAAGTGAGAAAGCCTCCATGGCAGAGAGCTTGGAGTAACCAAGTCATTGAAAGATATGCAGTCTGACTGGAACTTAGAGTAGGAGGAAGAGAGTGACATGTGATCTCAGGGGAGACCTGAGAGCTAAACAGGTATCAGTTGTTTTTTAGGACAATTAAAGATTCTGGATTTGAACCTAAGATTAATGGCAAGTCACGGATGAGTTTAAAGCGGAGGTGTGGCATGAACAGATTTGGGCTTTAGGAAAACCACTTGGGCTGCCGTGTGGAGAATGAGTTGGAAAAAGGGACAGAAGTGGGGGGGAAAGTTAGGAGGCTGTTTCAATATGATTTTTACTTAGGCTATAGTAGTGGCAGTAGAGGCGGAGGGTGGTGGATAGATTACAGAGGCCACCCTGCTGAGATTGGAAGAGCCAACCCGTGTGTGTACAAAGCTCTGTCTTGCTTTCCTGCATCGTACTATTGTACTAACAAATGGTCTTTCTGCATATAAGAGTATGAGCCAGAGAAAAATGAACAAACATGAGGCCTGAAGTTAGTATAGAAGCTCTGTATTATGAAAAGGCATGATCTGACAGGTAGTTAAGGATAATAAAGACAAAAACACTCAACTAAATGGAAAGTCCTCAGTTTGATTGTAATCTAGCCAGGATCCTGATCTGAGATTTGCTCTTCATATTAGTGTGTATGATGTCAACAGAATTTTGAGAGACAGACATGTTTATTCAGTGGCCAATGCGTCCTTCCCCCAAAACATCTTTCATCCACTTGCTTATTTATTCATTCATTCATTTACAAACACTTCAAATCCTTACTGAGGGCTTACTACTCACCAGACATGTTTACTTATCTTAGTTTTTAATACTACATATGGCCATTATTCCTAGTGTGGGCCTTTGATGTTTATAGGTACTTCATGGACCACTTCTCATTGAGGATACATTTAGTCCATCAGGTTTCCGTTTTAAGTTGACTCATCACTTAAGGTGTAGCCATTGGTAAAATCCTGCAATCCTGATCTCCTGTGGCCCATATCCTCTGCACTTTCTATTGCTACTCCCTAGTCTTTGGTCAGGGTCAGTATGTTTAATTCCATTTCATTCAAACAGTTGGTCAGTTCACCCATCACCACCACCACTAAGTTATCTTGTTGGTCATTGTTGAACTATTATATTAGCCGAGGTAATGCAAGCTATCAGCAAACAAGTTCTCCATGTAAGTGGCTTAAATACATTAGAAGTTTATTTCTTGCTAATATAAATTCAATTGGTAACAGATACGGGAATGGTGGATTTTCTGCTCCACTGTGGACTCAGGCTGATGGAGTCACCATGGGGCTCACAAGCTTGCCTAGCTGGCAAAGGGAGTTAGGTGAATGTGAAAGCTTATTCAGGAAGTTTTTATGGGCCAGGGCTAGAGGTGGCTTACATCATTCCCACCCATGCTTCAGAACTCAGGTACATGGCCATACTTAACTACAGGGGAGACTGGGAAATGTAGTCTGTGTGTTTTCTTGGTAAGCCTGTCTTTGTCAAACCCAGCTAGTGAATGTCCTTGTACAATACCTGCTGTTTGATTCAGTTATAATAAGAGGCATGGAAGGACCAGATCTATTGTTGTAGGACTTTTTCCTTAGTTCAGCTAAAGACAGTGGGGTTGGGGGAGGGTGGTCCTCATCACACAGCCATGTAAAATTAGGCTCACAGACAATTCGAAGGAGGAGAAAAATGAAATTTATTGGGCAAAGAGGAATAAAAAGGGAAACAGGGACTCTCCACCAAGTCAGAACAAGAATCTTGCTAGTATGCTTCCCGCCTCACAGACTGTAATCCCAGGTTCCACCCAGGAGGAGGAGGGGCCAGGCTCCTCCCTGCTGCCAAAAGCATGAACTTCTGTGTCTCCACCCCAGTGTACCCTCCTCCCAGTGCATATGCCCATTGGAGTTTTTTCAGGGTGCCCTTCCCACCTGACTGTCTCAATATGAAGGAGGAATTTCCTTTGTGCCTAATAAGTGGCTGTGTCACAGTCCTGGACATTAGAGTGGGAAATGTCTACATTCTGAACTCCTAACATATCTGATCATTGCTATTACTCTTTTCTCACAGGGAAATAAATGCCCGGCTTGATGCTGTATCTGAAGTTCTCCATTCAGAATCTAGTGTGTTTGGTCAGATAGAAAATCATCTACGTAAATTGCCCGACATAGAGAGAGGACTCTGTAGCATTTATCACAAAAAAGTAAGTGTGACAGAAATCTAATAAAGCTGACAGTGTTCTTCAGCTCACAAATTAAAAGAAAACTTTTAAAGAAAAGTTTTATTAAAAGAAAACTTAAAAGAAAACTTCTGAGAGCTCTATTATTATTTTATTTTATAAAATCTTATAAATATAGCATGCGAGAGTAGCTGAATCCTCAGAAATTTTAATAGCACAAATTAGAATTATTCCAATTTAACCATTGTAAAAAATAGTTTTCTTATGTACATTAACTACAGCCACATAGAGGCCCTTCTCTTATAATACAGGATATTCTCCTGTTTCATCCTGAAAGTATAGACTATTATCAAAATAGGAAATTTATGTAGACTAGTTATTTTAGAAAAAAGATACCTTATTTCTTTTGATCTTAGAACAACTTATTATTTCTTAAACTAAGGAAAAATCTGCTAGTATAACATCTGTGGTGGTAATTAGTATGAAAACAAGCTTGGATATTGAAGGTGAGTAAAGTATTATTTTGATTTTTATCACTTAAGCTTTATAGTTTGAGTCATAGCAAAAATGAGTCATTTTCCACTTTTAGGGAAATAATTTAGGTTATCTTCAAAGTATGCCTAAAATTTTAAAAAATTATTAATACTTTTAAATGGTAAAAAACACGATAAACTCTTTATGGGGTTTTACTTTTTGCAGAAGTCTTTCACACACTTTATACTCTTTGTTCCTTGTCAAAACTTAATGACATTGAGAAGTTACTATTTTTATTACGTTCTTACTAATAAGAAATTGTATCTAATGCTATGTGTGGTGTATGTATGTGTATATATGTGTGTGTGTGTGTGTGTGTATATATATAAATTGCTGCAACCACTTGAATTACTTTGGCTCATATGATGATGCTGAGAGGTTTAATAACTTGCTAGTAACAGAATCTGTATTTAGACCCAGGATTCTCGATTGTGTTTTCATTGGCTGTGTCTTTTGGACACTATCATGTTTGATGTAGTTATCTTGACTGCCATTTTTTTTTTTTTTTCTGTTTGCCACTTTTCATAAGCAAATTTTATTTTTCTTCCAAACGTAACTCCTTGCCAATATAATAATTTTACTGTAAAACAGTTTTTATATGCCTAAATTTTTACTTTATTTTTGAGACAGAGTTTTATTCTCGTCACCCAGGCTGGAGAGCAATGGGGTGATCTCGGCTTACTGCAACCTCCACCTCCCAGGTTTAGGCGATTCTTCTGTCTCAGCCTCCTGAGTAGCTGGGATTACAGGCACCCGCCACTATGCCCTGCTGGCTTTTGTATTTTTAGCAGAGACGGGTTTCACCACATTGGCCAGGCTGGTCTCGAACTCCTGACCTCAGGTGATCCACCCGCCTTGGCCTCCCAAAGTGCTGGGATTACAGGCATGAGCCCCCGCACCCAGCCTATATGCCTAAATTTTAGTTTTGACCAAGTTTTCATTAGAGTTTCTATATTTTTCAGCCCCTTTTACCCCCACAGAATTTTACTAGAATAAGTACTGCTTCTAAGCATACTTGAGGTGCCCAAGAGGACTTATGTAACTGTTTTACATGCTTCAGCTAAATTTGAAAACAATGTACAAGCCAGAATTGGAAATACTGATCCTGGGGTGAAAGAATGTAGGAGTTGGTTATGGGGTCAAGGGAGCCTATTGTATCATTATTGGGTACACCATGTTGTTGTTTTGCTGGCAATAGCAGAAGCTGTGCTGATAGTTGCAAGTTTTATGGTAGATCTTTTTGAAGTTGCATAGTGGTTGCCAAACCATTTGTTGTTTTGTATCCTTGGCTCAGAGTCTGAAAATTGGTGCATATTAACCTTCTTTAAACAACGGCTCTCCGGGCACCTTGCCTTAACTACTTGAAAGGATTCACTGACAGATGTCAGAGATTTTTGTTTTTCTTAAGAGAAAACAGAAGCAAAGCTGAAAATCTTTCAATGACTACTCAAATGCACTAAGTCAAAGTGTCCGTGGCATCAAGATGGCAGCATCAGTTCATGGGGCTGTGATTTCTTTTCCACCTTCCTGCCTTTTTGTAAACTTTACTTTGATGTTTGTATTGCACAGGGTTTGTGTATTTATAAAAGTTTCAAAACTCTAGTAAAGTCAGAATCTAATTCATTTAAAAAGTGGCCACTATGCAGTGCAAGAATGACTTTTTTTGGAATTTAAAAATATATTTTACTAAAGGAACTTGTAACTCACTTGGAAGCCATTCCTTGTTGCTGTTTTAGTGTTTGTTTGCACAAGAATGTGCCTAAAGATTAGTTTGAAGGGTGAAAAGTAGAAATGATCTGGTAACAAACCAACTTCAGGAAAGCTGAATGCTTTAAACTAATGTTTTATAGATTAGTTGGCTGGCTCTACGAACACACCATCAAACATATGTCTATTCTTTATTATTAGATTACTCTACATAAGCTTCTATGTACACCACATAGTGAGTGATGTCCTGGGTACAGATTGTGCCAATTATGTGAAATTCATAAAACGAGAAGGAACACTGGATATTGTGGAAAGTGGTCAACACAGGCTGTACAGTTTTGTGGGAAGTGTCCTGGAATACGTACCAATAGGTGTTTTTATGTCGATAATGATAGAGGATCTCAAGTGAGCTGATTCTGGCATAAAATAAACATTTCTTCTTCTTCTTCTTCTTCTTCTTTTTTTGAAACAAGATCTCACTGTGTAACCCAGGCTGGAATGCAGTGGCATGACCACAGCTCACTACAGCTTCAGCCTCCAGCCTTCTGAGTAGCTGGGACAACAGGCATGTGCTGCCATGCCCAGCTAATTTTTTTTTTTTTTTTTGTATTTTTTGTAGAGACAAGATCTTGTCGTGTTACCCAGGCTGGTCTCCAACTCCTGGATTCAAGGATCCTCCCACCTCAGCCTCCCAGTGTGCTGGGATTGCAGGCGTGAGCCACTGCTCCTAGCCTAAAATAAACATTTCTTTTGATGACAAAACATTAAATTCAAATCTTGTAAATAGTGCTAGTCACAGGAACCCATACTAACTTTGCTCAAGAACTGTTTTGTAAGAAAGTGTTAAGTAACTGCCGAGGTTGGTGAATACATTTAAAGGATAATCGCACTTAGCAAATGTTGAGGAGAGTGTTTTCAGAATTTTCTAGGTGAGAATCGTTTTTTAGCCAGGCAGGAATAAGCCCAAAGGCCTGTTTTCAGTGTTGCGCTTAAGCTGGGGTCCTTTCCATCCTGTGTCCAGTGAGGGCCTGCCTCCGTACTTGTGGGTCTGTGCCCAAGCTCTCCCAGTGAGACAGCTGCTGCCAGAAGTAGGGCTGAATTCCTGGAGAGTGACTCCAGGAGCAGCCACTTACCCATCCTCAACTTTCTTGCAGCTTCTTTTGAGTTCTTTTGCTTAAGAAACTTGAGAACAACCTGCTGCCTCTGGCTTTCAAGGTGATTGTAAAACACTACTGGTTTTCACCTTGCTTCTGTTGCTGACTTAACTTTACATTGTGTCTCAGCTTGGAAAATTAATCCTTTTCTTGGGATTACAATAATTACAAGAGGTTAATATTCAAAATTATGTTGAAAATGTTTATGTTTAGTTCTTTACTTTTGTTAAAAGGTATCATTAATTGACTAGTGGCCAAAAAGCTTCTAGGTTTCACATTTATGTAAACAGTCCAGCTTCCTGTATGGGGTGGGGAGGGGGTCTTTCTGGAGAAAAGTTGCCTCATGATACACTTAGAATTCAACATTTGCTCAGTTGGACCTAACTTCTTACTTTTTTTGCATAATTTACTTCACCCTTTGTGGTTAATTACGTTTTTTAACGTGTTCTTAGCCTTAATCTATTTCATATATACTACTTATTATGTGCCTTATTACCTTAGCCTTAAATTGTTTTCTCAAGACAGTTCTTTTCAGTCAACATTCTGTCAGTTTTATTTTCCTGAGCTGTCTTCTGGAGCCTTCTGACTTGATCCAGTATGGACTGGTTGTCCTCGTATCTGTTGTATAGTACTATCTTAAATTCCCTTTACTTCCCTTGAGTTGAATCTTTTATTTTCTATATTCCATGTCTTCCTCTTGGTTTATTTCTTCATTTTGGTGGAGTACATCCTCTAGAATCTTCCTGAGAAAGAATGTTGGAAGTAAATCTTTTGAAACATTCATGTCTGAAAGTGTGTTGTTTTTTTTTTTTTAATTGTCGTTGTTACTACCTTCACATTTGATTGGTAGTTTGAATGGGTATAAAATTCTAGGTTTTAGATGACTTTACTATCTTTACTACCACTTCTGTTGAATTTTTCATTTCTACTATTATACTTTAATTTCCAAGAATTTTTGTTTTCTTGTTCTCCAAACGTTTTTTCTTTTTAAAAGTAGCATCTTGTTTCATGGTTGTAGTATCTTCTATTTCATGGAAGATATTATTAATATTTTTAGAAGTTCCCTCACAGGGCAGAATCCAAACTGGTATACAAGTCTTTTTGGATTCTTGATGTAAATTGTGTCTCAGTTTTCCTTAAGGACAGTTTAAAATTCAAGTACCTTGAGTCTTTTAAGTCAATCGCTATTTATCCGTTTACTTTATAGCTTCTAACATATTGTTGCTGTTGTCCTCTTTTCTGGTGTGGTTTTTTCCTTTTTTTTTTTTGAGACAGAGTCTTGCTCTGTTGCCCAGGCAGGAGTGCAGTGGTGCGATCTCGGCTCACTGCAACCTCCGCTTCCTGGGTTCAAGTGATTCTTCTACCTCAGCCAGCTGAGTCACTGGGATCACAGGCGAGCACCACCACACCCGGCTAATTTTTGTATTTTTAGTAGAGATGGGGTTTCACCATGTTGGTCGGTCTGGTCTCGAGCTCCTGACCTTGTAATCCACCCACTTCAGCCTCCCAAAGTGCTGGGATTACAGGCATGAGCCACTGTGCCTGGCTGGTTTCATGCCTTTTTAAACAATCTCTTAACTGTTGTTTGAAGATGGAAATTAGATGCACATGTTAACCCACTCTGTTTACCAGAAGCTACGATGTAAAAATTATTCATGTTCATGTTAAAAAATACCACAGTAGTATGCAAGGGTATACAATAAAGGATAAAAAGTCTCCCTCTGCCACCCCTCCATACCTACTACCCAGAGGGTAACCAGAGTAAGTCACATGTGTTACCTCCTAAAATTTTTATTGATATTTAGATTTTTCTATTTGTATAAAAAATGTATATCATTTAAAGAATCACAAAGAAAGTATTACCATGTAAATACATAAAAATATATACATATATGGGCTATGTGGTATATGATAGAAACATACTATATTCAATGTATGTTGAAATTATGGAGTTCTATACTGATACAAACATCTTAAATTTTTTTAGCTGTTTCATAGTATTACATTGCATGAGTTTTTCCTAATAAGATCCCAATTGATGGATATTTATTTCTTATTTATCTTTTTAAATTAGAAGCAGTGCTACTATGAATATTCAGACACATGTTTTTCACTATTAGTCTATTTTAGATAAATTATTTAAAGTGATGTTTATTCAAAGGGTTATATGCACTTTTTTGTTATGAAGACATGCCAAGTTGTTTTTCAAAAAGGTTAGTCCTCTGCTAATAGTATATAAAAGTGTCTTTTTCTTTTTTTTAAATCCTGTTACATGGTTATTGTGGAGCTTTTAAATATTTAACATTCTGATAAGTGAAAAATGCTATCCTGTATTTCTAATTTGCTTGTCTTTACTTGTATATGAAGATAATCATGTACATACTGACTGTTTCTATGAGCTGCATATTCAGTTTGTTTAGCCATTGTTCTTTGGATTATTCATCTTTTTCATGTCAATTTGTAAGAGCCTATTATGTTTGGGAGAATTTTGCCTTGTGTTTGTTATGTCTTACAGATATTATCCTTCACATTTTTTAGCTTGTTTAACCTATTTTTGCTATTTGGTTTATGCTATTTTAAAATGAAAAAATACTAAACAAGTATTGGCTTTGTTTTCCTTGGCTAAAATTATTTTCTTTATGCCTTTAAAATATTACATAGTATTTAACCTCATTTAGAAAATATCAGTGCTATTTTATTTCAACTAACTAGTTAATAGAAAATTTAAACTTTCCTCAATTCTGATTCTAACTTTAAAAGATCACTAGTTAAACTTCATTTTCATGTATCTTATGCTATTTTGTAAAAAAATTTCTATTTTCAGTGTTCTACCCAAGAGTTCTTCTTGATTGTCAAAACCTTATATCACCTAAAGTCAGAATTTCAAGCAATAGTACCTGCTGTTAATTCCCACGTTCAGTCAGACTTGCTCCGCACCGTTATTTTAGAAATTCCTGAACTCCTCAGTCCAGTGGAGCATTACTTAAAGATACTCAATGAACAAGCTGCCAAGTAAGTACCAGACCCTGAATTCTTCTTTTTCGACAGTCAGTATACTCCAGTGCATTTGCCATTTGATTTGTGGATTCTTAATCTTTGCTAGAAGTTGAATGAGTACATATATAATTAGAAATGTGATTGGACCCTAAAAGTGTTACATTACAGTTGGAATACTTGCTATCTAAAATTTAGGCAGTTTACCATCTAGGACAGGTATAGTACTCCCCCAGGTATCAGATGATGGAAAGGTAAAACACAGGCAAAGCCAAGCAGTAGTAGATTATTAACCCCAAAATGAATGTCAGATATCTTGTACTCATTTCCTATATTTCCAGAGATGTCCTTATATTTAGAATCTGTAAAAGCAAAGTTATCCTTTAAAAGGTAGTTCTTTTATAACGTATTGCACAAAACATTCTATATAAATGAAATAGGATTTGACATTTACATTTGTCTTTGTTTTCTGCATAGGCAAACAACAAATAATGTATCTCTTGGTTTTACCATGGGAATCATGAACTTAAAAAGTGAAAATGATATTAGGGTCATTTTGACCATCCTCAGAGAAGTTAAAAAACAAGCCCATAAGTGCTTAGTGACAATTGGAACCTCATTTCCCTGACTTCCAGTGCTTTCCTCTTTCATCACACTATGAAAAATAAACGATAACTGCTCTAATCAATAAACTTCGAATATGTATTTGCATTTTTTGATTTTTTAGAGTTGGGGATAAAACTGAATTATTTAAAGACCTTTCTGACTTCCCTTTAATAAAAAAGAGGAAGGATGAAATTCAAGGTGTTAGTGACAAGATCCGAATGCATTTGCAAGAAATACGAAAAATACTAAAAAATCCTTCTGCACAATATGTGACAGTATCAGGACAGGAGGTAATGTCAAACCTACTTTTATTTTCTATTAGTTTTCCTCTAGTAGAAAAGCTATTTTAAAATGTAAATAAAAATCTGAGGATAGGATATGTATTATCTCTTCAAATTTTCTGTTTTATTCCTTGGAAATATGTTGTAATAACTTGTTTTGATAAGTATTATTATTAAAATGGTGTTTTATTAGTCTCTTGTGAAAGTAATGCAACTTAATGTTATATGTGTATTAGCGTTATCTGTTAAAATTATATTATAGAAAATCTCGATTATTATGAGTAGCAACTTATAGAATTCATTTGTTCTAAATCCAGGAAAGAGAAGTTAGTCTTTGATCCCTGCCTTACAGATGATGAAATAATACAAAGTTGGCCACCTGTGTTGATTGGCTCATATATTGATTAAACGGTGGGGCTTCCTACTAAAGTTAAGAGTATAGCTGCTAAAAAAACAAATCTAGAGTGAAAAACTACAGTTAGTGAGTCTTCCATAAAATTATGGTACTGTTTAGAATGTGTTTCTTGGGGTGTGTACTTCTGTTTAAAGTTTGATAGTAGTGTCTGAATGAGAACCAGAAAAGGAAGAAGTATGCCTTTTAAATATGGTTGTACTTTTCAGTCCTATTCTGAGTCTTGAGGCATGCTACTCCTATATCTTATGTTTAATAAAATATGAAGATTCAAACAGAGGGAGTTTGAGAAATTCTGTTTTATTAAAATACCAAATTGGGAAACTTATGGATAACTTCTATAGAGTGAGCATTTTATTCAGGATTTTTAAAAATAGATATTTTTCTGGTGGGGAAGAACTTAATTTCAAATCAAAATTTTTAACATTTACATTGCTTTGTGTTTTGCTAAAAGATTGTTGATTGTATAGTTATTTGAAATAAGAAGCTCTACATTAATAGAGAATATTCATTAAAATGTTTGTCTTGTGTTATTTCATAGATTTACCCATTAAGTCAACCTGTCTTCTGAACTACAATTATTAAGATATTATACTCAGCAGACATTCACAATGCCACATGGAGCTCTATATAATAGAAAAATGATTTGACAATATTTATACTTAAGTTTATTGTCTGAACAGACAAATACCAAATATTTAATTGTAGTTCTTGTTTTTACTATGCGGTCATGACCTTGCAAAGTGAAAATTGGCCTAAAGGCCACCATTCTGGCTATTGGTTTAAAATCAAATGATGAACATTGCTTTAGTTACTTTAATAAAAGATATGTAGTAGAAAAGTGGCTGCCTGGTTATACAGTGGAGAAAGCTAAGTGTAAGTGCCAGTTCTACCATTTACATGCTATATGACCATGGAAGAGTTACCTCTGTTATAAGAATATTATGGAGACCAATTAAGTTAAAATACATGAAAGTGCTTTTTAATCATAAAGTGCTATGCTTATACTACTCATATAATAACAATAATAGTAATAGAGTTACCATTTATCAAGTACTTGTTAAGGTCTAGAACAGTGGTAGGTGCCTACATATATTATTTAATTCTTGTAACAACGCCAAAAAGGGTCAGTCATTCTAGTTTTGTTGGAAAGAAAACAGGTTTGGAGTAGTTAAATAAGTTACCCAAGGTCAGAAGCACAAATCCAGCCCAGTTCTGCCAGACTCTTGTCTTCTATTATGTTAATACCAGTATTTCATTCCATTTATTAATTCCAAATATTAACACAAAGGATTCTCAACGCCATGGATTTTATCTGACAAAATCTGGACATTTTAGAGCTCATAGTATTCAAAATAAAATTTAAGTCTTGGAAAGACGGTCCTGGATTCATTTGGTAGTTTTTGAGTAAAAATGAAAGAAAATTATCAGGAATTCATAAGAGATAGTAGACTGGTTATTCATTGTGAATGTGGCATTGAGGTTTAAGAAAAAGTACAGCATGGAGATCAACTAATTGTATTTAAAAATATTAGGAAGATCAGTTATCTTTTATCTTTACTAGGTTAAGTTGATGAATTTGAGGAACAAAGTTTCTTCGTTATTAATAGTAAGATGGATTATTGTTGGTTTTTAATAATCTTCTCTAGGATTTTAGTAGAACGTTAACACAAAATTACTTTCATAAAACCTTTTGAAAATTAATGATTCCATTCATTGGAACACCAAAGGAATTCTAAATATTCAAACTTGTTTTCATCAAATTCTGTTTTAAAAAAGACTATAGTGGCTCACACCTATAATCCCAACACTTTGGGAGGCCAAGGCAGAAGGATTGCTTGAGCTCTGGAGTTCGAGACCTGCTTGGGCAACATAGTGAGACACCATCTCTAAATATAAAAATAAAATTAGCCAGGCATAGTGGAATGTGTGTATAGTCGCTGCTACTCGGGAGACTAAGGTAGAGAATCGCTTGAGCCTGACAGGCTGAAGTTGCTGTGACCCGTGATCATACCACTATACTCCACCCTGGGCAACAGAGTGAAACCCTGTCAAAAAAAAAAAAAAAAAGACTAACGGTATTCTCAAATTATTTAAAGGTACTTAAAAGACTAGGAAAAGACTCCATCAAATATGATTATCTCTGAGAAGTGAGGGAGGCACGGTGGAAAACCCTTATTTTACATTTATTGGTGCTTCTTTATACATTTCTGTTCTGACATTTTATTTCTATACATACAGCTTTTGTAATAACCTTAAAAGACCCATTATAGCAGCCCCACGTGATCCATGTGATGGTATGTGGATCTTGTTATTTTTACCAAAATTAGGTAAATGTGCCGGTCTGTTAATCCAGTGTTATTTTGACAACTTTCATTTTTCACCTCTGTTCCCAGCTTTTATATACTCATTAGAATACTAAAACCTTATTGTATGATGCCTTATTGTCTCTGACTATGTAAGTATTGGCTTAGAAGAAATTAATGAAAGCAGAAACTTTATATTTTTATGTAATAATATACATACATTATTATGTATTATGTAATGTATGTATGTATCTATGAAAGTATGTATGTAATGAAAGCAGAAGTTTACATAGTTTACTGCTTCTGTTACAGTCTCTATCATATTTTATGAATATAGACCAATTATCTCTTAACCTTGAATCAAATACGGAATGGAAAAGGGGCAATATTTACATTGGGGGCAGTACTGATAAGTATTATTATTACTAAGGGAAAAAGAAAAATATTGGAAAAAAATCTTTAGAAAGAGTTTTATTCATTGACAGCATGCAGCATATCCAAATATCTGTTCACTATGTTTAAAATGTGGAAAATAATCTGTTAAATCTGAGTACTTTTTACTTAGGTTTAAAATATAGTAAAAAATGCTTAAATTATTAAGAGAATGAAAAGTGGGGAGTGGAGGAATGGGTTAAGTGTGGTGCTGGAGAAAACAGCAGTTTCTGGAGTGAGTAAGAATTTCGGCAAACCTAGTGATGTTGCCAGCCCGGTGATACCACAGGCTATATAGATTGAGTAACAATATCTGACATTTAACTAAGACAGAATTGGGTCCCAGGAGAAGAATATGAGAGATTGCTATAATGAATCAAGGCAGACTACTCACATCAACACCTAAGAAACAAAGTCAGGAACTGTAAAGCAGGAAAAGTTGCTGTGAGAGCTTTCTAAGATTACTGGAATGTATGCTATTTTTCTATGTTAGTTTTCTTTAGTAACAAAATTCTTAAACCAAAGGCCTACCTGTTCATTCTTAGAATGTTAAAAAAAAAAGAATAGCTAGAGAAAAAATTTTGTATCTCATCATTGCTGTAGAAGAGAAGAAAAGCTAGCAGATGACCACTCTGAGGAGGAACCCAGGCTGAAATTCCGAGGACTGCTGAGTGAGGAAGAGGGACACTCAGGATCAGTCCAAGTACCAGCCCCTGTCTGAGGACGTGACCAGAGGGGTTTAACTTGTGCCTTCCTGACTCCCGCTGTTTTCCCGACTGTATTGGCACTATATTGGCTCTGTATATGGTGGCCCGCTGTAGCGATTGTGGTCCTAGAGTAGCACTTTTGATACTTACAGATTGAATAGTTGTGGTCCAAACTGTTCCCAAGGTGCTCCTTGTTCAAAATGTCCGTCATCCCTTAGGTAGTAACTCCTGTGGAGCTCTGTTAGTCATTATGCATCTGGATGTGTCCTTCCCAAATATCAGTGATCCAATCAGTCTGTTCCTGAATTTTGCTGTTTGCCTTTAGCAGAGCTCTTTCCAGAATTATTTTATAAAAAGGCCAACATCTCTTTTGGTAGAACACTTTAAAATAGCAGAATTATTTAGCACAGTTTAAAAGTGGTTTTATCTTTCCCATTAATGATATTTTTTTGTGGTTTTTCAAAAGTTACTTTTTGTAGCCAAACGAGGCTTTTTAGACTCTTGACTCTTAACTATTTAAATGGGTGTAGCAGATTTGAAACTGTATTAATTCTCTGTACATGAGGGCATCACTAGTTCAAAACATTTTTCTAAGGGAAATTAGCCACTAATTCTTAATATAATTAATGTAAAAACTACAGTATTTCTATTAATGGGAAAAATAAACTCAAGAACCATGTTGATACTGTTATTAATATGAACATTATAAATACCTGAAGTTATGTACATATAATAAAACTGATAAATATGAAAAAGTTCTCATAGCTCTCTCAAAATTAAAACCACACAGCTTCTAGGGTTCCATTCCACTCAAAATGGGTTTTTAGAAATTTATTTAAATGAATCATTGAATTTTTTTTTTTGTTTTTGTTTTTTATTGAGACAGAGGCTTGCTCTGTCGCCCAGGCTGGAGTGCAGTGGCGCGATCTTGGCTCACTGCAACCTCCACCTCCTGGGCTCAAGTGATTCTCCTGCCTCAGCTTCCTGAGTAGCTGAGATTACAGGTGCCTGCCACCAGGCCTGGCTAATTTTTGTATTATTAGTAGAGATGGGATTTCACCATCTCTACTAATTGGCCAGACTGGTCTTGAACTCCTGACTTCAGGTAATCCCTCCACCTCAGCCTCCCAAAGTACTGGGATTACAGGTGTGAGCCATTGCGTCCAGCCTGAATTTGATTGTAATAATACAGGAATGCAGGTACACTGAGAAGAGGTAATATATAACTAAGGCTAAAAATGAATGGTTTGATAGAACTTTACTTGCTTCCTGGCTGATGAGAACCTTATTTGCAGAGCACAGTTGGATCTATAAAGATATTATGGATGTAAATTAAAATGATAATGAGATATTATCTCACCCCACTCAAAATGACTTTTATCCAAAAGACAGGCAATAGCAAATGTTGATGAGGATGTGGAGAAAAGGGAACTCTCGTACACTGTTGGTGGGAATGTAAATTATAGTACCACCATCACTATGGAGAACAGTTTGGAGGTCCCTCAAAAAAAATAAATAAATAAATAGAGCTACCATATGATCCAGCAATCCCACTGCTAGTTATATACCCAACAGAAAGGAAATTAGTATATTAAAGAGATATCTGCACTGCCGTGTTTATTGCAGCACTATTCACGATAGGTAAGATTTGGAAACAAAGTGTCCATCAACAGACGAATGGGTAAAGAAACTGTAGTATGTATTCACAATGGAGTACTATTGAGCCATAAAAAAGAATGAGATCCTGTCATTTGCAACAACATGGGTGGATTATGGAGGTCATTAGGTTAAGGGAAATATGCCGGTGCAAAAAGACAAACATGGCATGTTCTCACTTAACTTGTGGGAGCTAAACATTAAAACAATTGAACTCATGGAGATACAGAATAGAATGATGGTTACCAGAAACTGGTAGTGGTAATGAGGGTGGGGAGGATGAGGGGATGGTTAATGGATAAAAAAGAAACAGGAAGAATGAATAAAACCTAGTATTGGTTAACAACACGGTAATTATAATCAATAATTTAATTGTACATTTTAAAATAACCAAAAGAGTATAATTGGATTATTTGTAGCACAAAAGATAAATGCTTGAGGTGATGGATACCCCATTTACCCTGATGTGATTATTATGCATTGCATGCCTGTATCAAACTATCTCATGTAACCAATGAATATATACAACTACGATGTACCCACCAAAATAAGAAAAAGATATTATGGTTCATATAAGTGAAAACTTAAAGAAAACTCTCATATGGAAAGAAATATTTTCTTCTCTTTATAGTTAGGGAAGTCAGTGCTTTCCTGTGAAGATACTTCTAGAGGATTTCGGTTCCTTGGGTAAAAACTATCTAAAAATCTTCTCTGTTCAGAATAGGGGAGGATCATATCTCAGACCGGTGTAACATCTACTAATTGAATATTTTAAAATCTTATATGCTTAGAAATTCAATCTTTTATGAGTAATAGAATTCTTAAGTGAGTATTAATAAATGAAAGAGATGGTTAATGAAAAAGCCATCATTCAGAGTATATGTATAACAATATTAGAAACATGAGAGCCCAAGTATTACAAATGTTTTACACAACACAAATTGTACCTTGTCTCAAGTATTGAACCCTTAATTAATAATATTTGTCTGTATTGACATATATACAGTATGAAAAACAATTCTGGACTTATTTTGAGTGTTTAACAATATATAATAAATTGTTATACCACAATTTGGGGAAAGCTTTAAAATATATAATGGTTACTCATCTAAATATCTGTTTATTTGTATTTGTTTTAGTTTATGATCGAAATAAAGAACTCTGCTGTATCTTGTATACCAACTGATTGGGTAAAGGTTGGAAGGTAGGTTTAAAATACATTTTTTTCTTATAATGAATTATAATGACATCTGTATATCTGTGTGCTACTGGGCTCATAGTAGCCACGTTCTTAAAATTAAAAGCAGTTCTTTTTATTTTTATTTTTTCTTGCTCTGTTGCCCAGGCTGTAGTGTAGTGGTATGATCTCAGCTCATTGCAACCTCCACCTCCCTGATTCAAGGGATTCTTGTGCCTCAGCCTCCCGAGTAGCTGGGACCACAGGCATGCACTACCACCCCCGGCTAATTTTTGTATTTTTAGTAGAGACAGGGTTTCACCCTGTTGGCCAGACTGGTCTCAAACTCCTGACCTCAGGTGATTCATCCACCTCAGCCTCCCAAAGTGCTGGGATTACAGGCGTGAGCCACTGTGCCCTGCCCTTTCTTAGGGAACTTTTAACCAAGGAGATCACTATTTTTAACTCTTTATCATTGATTTTAAAACATTTTTCAAAAAGGTATCTTATTTTTACACATTTGTTTTCTTATTTTGTAAATTACTGTTTTATTCTTATAGCACAGGATACACATGGAAGAAAAGTTGGGGAACCTTCAATTGTAAGATTAATTTAGTTGCTTTTACTTCATGGTGAATGCTATGCCTGACCTTTCTTACAAGAAGTTGCAATTTCATTTTCTACCTCACCGAACTCCACATTTCTTTACTCTTAATGCCTTCCTTGGCACATAATTATTGTAATTCTTTACATCTTTTTTTTATAACCCGGATCATGAATTGATGAAAATAAATTAATCAAAAACAAATTTAGAGAACCACAATGAGACTCTGCCTTTTCTCCTTGGTTAGACATTAATCTCCAAGAGAGGACTCATTTAAAGACAAGGTATTAGGGAAGTATATACAGCTGTGAGTAGTATCCTTTGTGGAATATTTATTAGTACTGTTATCAATAAGTTGCACAAACATGAGATGAAAATGGTACATTTGCCTAAGATGGTAGAAGAGGGACCAGTAACTGGTAATAGTGTACAGGCATTCTGTTTTAAGGATGAAGGGAAATTTTGACATAACGTATGACTGATTAATTTATTACACATATAATATACATATATACAAAAAAATATATAATGATACATATATAATATATATATATATTTTTAAGACGGAGTCTCTTTTTGTCAACCAGGCTGAAGTATAGTGACGCAATCTCAGCCTATTGCAACCTCCGCCTCACGGGTTCAAGTGATTCTCCTGCCTCAGCCTTCCAAGTAGCTGGGATTACAGGCACCTGCCACCACTGCTGGCTAATTTTTTTTGTATTTTAGTAGACACAGGGTTTCACTAGGGGTGGGCCAGGGGCTGGTCTTGAACTCAAGTGATTCACCTGTCTTGGCCTCCCAGTAATTTATTATTTTAACTTAAAAAGAAAATGTTTATTATCCATTGCCACATCATCAGATGCTGAAGGCACAGGCATGGATTTCTTTCGTTCTAATACCATCTTTTTTTTTAAATGCTGCCAGAAGCTGTACTTTAGATTTGAGTATTATTGATTCTAGGGGATGTTGTTTTCTCTTTTTGCAGACATTCTTTCCTTTATCTGCTTTTGTCCTGTATCACAGCTAATGAATGAAATATGCATTATGAAGAGAAAGTACCAAAAACCATGTTAGTCTGTCTACAACAATAACCGAAATATCTCACTAAATGAGTTTTTCCAGAAGATAAAGCTTTGATAAATATGTTGGCATAGAAGTCTAGATGATACAATTTTAAAGCAACAAGCAAGGCATAAATCAGTGACACCATCTTTCAAATGTTAGTAATGTAAATTGAATCAACAGATAAGATAGTTTGGGAAAGGTTCATTGCAATTTATCTGTTGGGCCATAGGGTTTTGACAGAGATGGGTTAGAACATCGAGAGTCAGATTTTGAATGCAAAAGGCCCACCCCTAATCCAGCAACTTGGCAAATTAAAGTGCAACAGTGTGTTACAAGAGTTGGGGAACAAACAAAGACCAGATGCCTTGACCTTTTCTTCTTGAAGACTTATCATAATGACAGCATTAACAGCAATGGCAACCACCACCACCACAAAACAACTAATTTTCATTGAATACTTATAGACGCTCTCGTGAGTGTTGTCTGTTTGATCCTGTCAACAGTAACTATGAGGTAGATATTATTATCCCCGTTTCATAGATGAGGAAAGTGATGTTTAGAGAAGGTCTGTTTCATTTGCCCCAAATCACATAGTTAGTAAGTAGCAGGACCAGAGCCTTGACCTGGCTTCTCTGACTGGGGACCCATGGCATCCCCTGTTGTGCTCTAGCTACTGAACGGAGAGCAGAGATGATACTTAAGCCCAGATGGGGAGCATGTGGTATTTCTTCCCATCCAGAGCCACTGTGAATCTGCACAGATCACAGTATCCTGAAGATCTCTTTCTTAATTGCCTCCTGAATTAATGCATTGCTATTCTTTGTAATGCTTTTTATTTTTCTTTTTTCTCTGAAATACTTCAGTCATACAGAAAAGCCCATAAAACAAAGAATAATATAACTTTCACCAATGTATCTACCTCCTAGCTTTATCATACTTTCTTTTACCATATTTGCTTCTGATCTTTTTTAAAGAGCATTTTCACTTAGTATAATTTAAAGAAAAAAACTTTTTGCCTATGAAATAAAAGTTCTAAACTCTGACTTTGCCATATGGGTATAATTTGAAATGCATTTTAAAAGGCTTCCTGAGCAAAGTCATGTTCTTTGGAATCAGTAGAGTTCAGGACCATAATTAAAGAATGTTCTTCTATTTACAGCTGTTTATTTTCAAGGTTCATCAGAGAATAATAAATAACTATTTTTATTTTCTAAAGTGATGGCATTTCGGATTTTTTACTAACCTTGATTTCCTATTTATGTTTTTTCCTGTCTTCTAGCACAAAAGCTGTGAGCCGGTTTCACTCTCCTTTTGTTGTAGAAAATTACAGACATCTGAATCAGCTCCGGGAGCAGCTAGTCCTTGACTGCAGTGCTGAATGGCTTGATTTTCTAGAGTGAGTTTACAGTGAAAAATATAATCTGACTTTTTGCTATGAGAAACAGACTGGAAAAATCTTCCCATCAAAAAGAAAATAGAGATTACAGCTTGTGACCCACCATAAAATAGTTGAGTACATGTGTTGTCTGATTTTATTTCTTTTTTTTTTCTTTTTCTTTTTTTCTTTTTTTTGAGACTGAGTCTTGCTCTGTCACCTAGGCTGGAGTGCCATGGCATGATCTCAGCTCACTGCATCCTCCACCTCTCAGGTTCAAGCAATTCTCCGTGCCTCAGCCTCCTGAGTAGCTGGGATTACAGGCACCCACTGCTACACCCAGATAATTTTTGTATTTTTAGTAGAGACGTGGTTTCGCCATGTTGGCCAGGCTGATGTTGTACTCCTGACCTCAAGTAATCCACCTGCCTCGGCCTCCCAAAGTGCTGGGATTACAGGCTTGAGCCACTGCACCCAGCCCGAAAGATATTCTTAAAAGCTACTGAAAGTTAAGATGACCACCTATATACCCTTCACCTAGGTTCATCACATGTTAGCATTTGCCACATTTGCTTTTTATCTCTCATGTATTTTTTTCCTGAAACATTTGGAAGTAAGTTTTAGACATCATAACACTTTCCCCTAAATACTTAGACCTGCATCTTTAAAAATAAGGACATTCTACTATGTAATCTTAACACCATTATTACATCTAAAAAAATTAACATTAATTTGTGAATATATTTGAATTTCTTGAATTTTTCCAATGTTGCCCTCCCTTTAGATTTTAAAATGAAAGACGTCATCAACTTTTACATGTTGCATTTGGTAATTATGCTTCTTTAGTCTATTTGAACCTAGAATTGCCTGCCATTTTTTTTGTTTTTTTTTACCATGGTATTTTTTGAAGACTCCTTGCCATTGTCTCAAAGAATGTCTCACATTCTGGATTTATTGATAGTCGTATATTTATATTGTCAGTTTTAAGTCATGGTGTGCTGGCGAATGGTTAATAGCCAGCTCTTTGGAAGGGCAGTCATGTTTGTAGAGTTTGCTGGTTTCTGAAGTGTAAACACTCCCACCAGGGCTGATGTGAAGCTACCACTGGACTGGAGTTGGGAAGAGATGTGCACAGTTGATTTTCATGAGTCCATAGGAGCCAGCTCTAGGCCACCACTGGTCTGACTACTTTATATATAAACTCATTATTTTTCATGTGACTCCTGTAAGGCTAAGTATCATACCCAACTTACAAATGAATAAAGTGAGATTCAGAAATAAGAAGTTAATCTTCTAAGGGTAAGGGTTGGAGCCCAGATTCAGCCCCAGCCATCTGGCAGCCAGGTATGTGGCCTTTGCCAGCCTGCCCATGGTGAGCCTGCAGGCATCAGTCTAAATACATCTCTGTTAGTTTCTTTCTTTAAAACTGTAAACAGGCCAGGCGCAGTGCCTCACACCTGTAATCCCAGCACTTTGGGAGGCCGAGGTGGGTGGATCACTTGAGGCCAAGAATTCAAGACTAGCCTGGCCAACATGGTGAAACCTTGTCTCTACTAAAAATACAAAAATTAGCCGGGTGTGGTGGCATGTACCTGTAATCCCACCTAACTCAGTAGGCTAAGGCAAGAGAATCACTGAACCGGTGAGGCAGAGGTTGCAGTGAGCCGAGATTGTGCCTCTGTACTCCAGCCTGGGCAACAGAGCATGACTCTGTCTCAAATAAATAAATACAACCTTAAACACTAAAAATTCAGTGATGTCCTTCAGGGAGCTTTATTGTATTTCAAGTAATCAACCTGAAATGAAATGAAAAAAACAAAAAACAAAAAAGATATGTGATAATTTTTACAAGGAAGTAAGTTGGTACCAATCTTTTTGCCCTGAGGAATCTTGAATTATAAGACCAGGAAGAGATTCCAATTTACTTAAATCTTTTGAGACTATCTTGACTCAGAATCTTGAATGTAGGGATGGAAATTTTGTCTATTCAGTTTCTTTTGTATTTCAATTTTCTATTTTAAGGGTTTTCAGAGCCTTTGAGTCTTTCAGTTCTCCTGGCTTTTTCCTTAGTATTACCACTGAGAATGTGAAAACTGAACTAAAATTACACCTTTCAGTCTTCAAGGACTCACATTCTAGAAGGGTCCTGGGATTTGGTGAGGTAATTTCCTGTTCACTCTATTCAGACCGTACATAATTTCATAGATCTGGCTTCTATTCTCTGTCATTATTCAAGACTAAAGAAAGTTCAGTACTCCCAGGCTAATCATCTTGGTGTTATTCTTGATTCTTTCTTCCCTTTGGTCCCTTTATCTGTTATCAAGTTCTTTTTTTTTTGGTCTCACTCTGCCACCCAGGCTGGAGTGCAGTGGTACAATCATCTAATTGCAACCTCTACCTCCCCAGCTCAGGCAGTCCTCCCACCTCAGCACCCTAGAAGCTGGGACCACAGGCATGCACCGCCACACCTGGCTAATTTTTAAGTGTTTTTGTAGAGACAGGGTTTCTCTATGTTCCCCAGCATAATCTTGAACTCCTGGGCTCAAGTGATTCGCCTGCCTCGGCCTCCCAAAGTGCTGAGATTATAGGTGCCAGCTGCCATGCCCAACCTGTTATCAAATTTCTGATTGTCTTTTTCCACCTTTGAGATGTTTCTTTGATTTGTCCCTTTTTATGTTGTCTTCTAATAGCCCATTATTACCTCAAACCATTCTTACTGTATCAGCCTTCTGACTTGGCCTTCTACTAGGTTGACCCAGGAGTTTTTATTATATTATCTCTAGGCTATAATTGAGATTGCAAAGAGTGAGCTAACAGTAAATATAATGTCACAGAAGCATATGATACTTTAATTACTAAGTGAAGAAAATGATGTAAAAAAGTAAAAGTATGATACAATTTTATATGTGTATATTCACATAATGCACAGCATACAGACTTCTATATTTTAAAGATTATATATGCTTATTGTATTACTAATATGCTTATTGGCCATGTGTATATCTTTGGAGAAATATCTATTCCTATGTACATGTGAACATATATGTGTATGTGTATATATATATAGACTCAAAACATTTACTGATTATTTCTGGATGGTGAGGTTACTGGTGATTTTAATTTCTTTCCTTTGCAAATGCAGTTGGCTCTTGATATCTGTGAATTCTGCATCCATGGATTTAACCAACTGCAGATTGAAAATATTCGAGGAATGAAAAGGATGGTAGCATCTATACTGAACATATACAGGCTTTTTTTTCCGCTTGTCATTATTTCTGAAACAGTACAATATAACTGCTATTTATTTATAGCATTTACATTGTATTATGTATTGTGAGTAATCTAGAGATGATTTAAAGCCTATGGGAGGATGTACATAGGTTATATACAACTACTTTGCCATTTTATGTAAGGGATTTGAGCATATTGGATTTTAGCATCTGCAGGGCGTCCTAGAACCAATCTCCTATGGATACCGAGGGATGACTGAGCACGATTTCAGAAGTACCTATAATGTACATATATTACTTTCAGAATAAGAAAAATGCATTAAAGTTTTTATCCAAAAAAAGAATATTGGCTGAAATTTAGCTAGAGCATTTTGCAGCTAGAGCCCCCACTTGAGAGCAGCATTGATTGTCATGTACAATATTTATTGAGGTGCCAGATGGTGTGACTGTGATATCATTAAAAAAGTGATTAACCTCAATGAACCTGACATCAGAGGACTGAATACCAGCATTACAAATGTATTTGTCACTTACTGAGGTACTAACTGTTGTGTATTAGTCATATTACTTTTGATCAAAATGTTGCCAGAAATTAAGGCTGTAGACACTGCTGTGGAGTAAATCCTTCCTTGAAACATGTCTCTCTTTTATTTTTTGTTCTAGAAGATGCACTGTGTATATTCAGTAATCTTCTCAATTGCAAATTATTTAAAAGTTGAATTATAATATATAATAAAAAATTGTAGAAATTCATTTGCAAATAAAATATTTTCAATTTTTATTAACTTCAGATATCATTGAGCAACACTTGATGGTAAACTTCTGTAGTCATCATAACACCATAACAGCTTTAGAACCCAAGTGTCTTCATCTGCTTCTTATGAACTCAGCAATATCTTTTGGCCAGAGGTTAAATCATAGTGCCTTGACTTCATCCTTAAGTTGGTTGGTAGCATAGTGATAAAATTGCTTGTTGTTATGCTGTAAACCCAGTCTATCAGATTGTTATCTGCATTGACCATTTTTCAGCTTACCATTTTTCTAAGTATGGATAATCTCCCTGAAGTTTGGCAAAGTATATCAAATGGACAAAGACCAAGAAGTCAAGGCTTCTTTAAGAGTTATGATAATGTTATAGGTTTTTGATAATTTTTCATTGTATTCATGTCTTATTTATACCATTGACATCAGAAGGAACATTGTTGTTCATATGAAAATAATTACTTTATCTCTCCCTGCTTTTTTGTTGTTGTAACTGAAATGGGACCCACTAAGAGCAGTGTTAACTCATTTCCGTTTTAAACATTAGATCATCAGAGACAGCTACCCTCAAGTCAAGCTGCTGAGTAGTAGCAAATTAGGGTCTTGAGGACCTGGGCAGGATCTGAGAAGGAGGGAAAGAGTGAGGAAAACAACTGATCATTTGTTACTGCTAAAGCTTTGATGCTCATGTCCCAAGAGGCAAGGGCAGAAACAGCAAATGTGGCTGCTTTCTGGCAAAAGAGAGGGTGCCTAGATAGGAGGACCGGATGGGTCAGTAATTAGAACAAGGACAGCATATGCCACAGTGCAAGAGGGCGGTGAGTGGTCAGATCTAAAGTCAGAGCCATGGCCAGGTGCAGTGGCTTATGCCTGTAATCCCAGCACTTTGGGAGGCTGAGACAGGTGGACTGCTTGAGGCCAGGAGTTCGAGACTAGCCTGGCCAACATGGGGAAACCCTGTCTCTACTAAAAGTACAAAAATTCGCTGGGCGTGGTGGTGCACGCCTATAATCCCAGCTACTCTGGAGGCTGAGGCAGGAGAATCGCTGGAATCTGGGAGGTGGAGGTTACAGTGAGCTGAGATCGTGCCACTACACCCCAGCCTGGGTGAAAGAGCGAGACTGCTACGTCTCAAAAAAAAAAAAAAAAAGGAAAAAAGGAAAGAAAACATAAAGTTGAAGCCAGAGCAGGAATAACAAGGCAAAGTCAGTGAGCAGCCACTCCGGGTTTAGGGTGACTTTTAACTCTAAACACCCAGGACAGTTAGGCCAGTGCAACATGTGGCATCTTCAAAACTAGGGAGCATTTTATTTTATTTTATTATTTTTTAAATTATTTTTAAATGTTTGTGGGTATATAGTAGGTGTATATATTTATGGGGTACATGAGATATTTTGATACAGGCATGCAATGTGGAATAAGCATATCATGGAGAATGGGGTATCCATCCCCTCAAGCAGTTATCCTTAGAGTTACAAACAATCCAATTACACTCCTTAAGCCATTCCAAAATATACAATTAAGTTATTGACTATAGTCATCCTATTGTGCTATCAAATACTAGGTCTTATTCATTCTTTCTATTTTTTTTTGATCCCTTAGCCATCCCCACTTCCCTCCACATTTTAAAGTGGTGACTGAGGGCTGCCTGTCTGATGCCAGGGGCCTGTCCCTTTTGTGTTTGGGGTTTTGCACAGATTCTAACACGGTGGGAATCATATTATTTGTTTTGATGAACTTTAATTCAGTGAGAAATACATAAGTTGTATTCATTATGTTCTATCTACTCAGCAAATAAGTATATAGTACACTGTGAATATATTTTTCAGTTCACAAAAAAACACAGAAATAAAGCTGGATAATTAAAATGTTGTTCCTAGTATCTGGAAAAAGTCATTTATGTACAATACCTTATTCTAATACTAGAAAAATCAGAAGTTACAGTTTTAAAAAGTCATAATGATTATATAGGAATAGTCCATCACTCTAGTAGTGTAATCTGGATATCTTTTTCAAGCTAGGAAGCACTCTAGAAACCTTTGGATTTCAGTACTAAATAGACTGTCTCAACATTTCTGAAACTCACACTACAATAGACAAATGTTTTTTAAGAGAGGCATTTATTGTTCGTTTGTCGTCTTTTTTCTCATTTTTGGATCATCTTTAAAAGGTCGTAGAGAATATCTGAGCTACACTATTTTTTAAATGTAGAAAGTAGGCACCTTATTTCTATTTTATTTCTATGTATGCACAAAAATAAGAAAAGATGCTAGTAGGAGTCTGTAAAACTGCACTGTGAGGTAGGGTGATAGGAGGAGCTCAGTTTGAGTCTAGGCTCAGTTGCTTTAGGCTAACTGCTTTTTCTCTCTGAACTTCATTTGTAAAACTTAGGTAATGACCTATCTTTATGGTTGTTGTAAAGAAAAAAAATGTAGTGGCTTCTTCATAGTCTTTGATTAGTAAATGTTTGTTTTCCTTTCAGCTTTCCTTTTGGACCTATTTACAGTTAGTTAATTACATTTTCTCATTTTCCAATCTTTGAAGAATTTGTGACCACCTACTTAAAGTTTTTTTTTAATCAAACAATCTCTTAATCTCTCTTGGAGGCAGAGTAGTTACTATAACGATTTAAGCTCAGCTGTATGTTTCCTGTTACTTAAAAAGATACTTTATACTGGTCATTCTTAAAAATTAACTTTTGGGTCATTTTTGTAGTTTAATTATGTATACTTCACACATCCACAATTGATCACTACATACAGATGTCCACAATTTATACGACACTACACACATTGACATAAAATACTATGATATGAGATAATGGGATAATTTAAGAAAAAAGAAAAAAGTATTCATGTGTGTTTTCCAAATAGGTTTTTCAATAAAAGCCATTTAGGCTTTTACATCAATAGGTATTATAGTTTTAAGTAGCCAAAGACTTGAGGCAATGACCATAATCTTTTAAAAAACAAATCTAAAATTTAGTTTTTATATGCATTAATAAGATAACTGAAGATAAGTGAGAAAAGTACCTTTTCCCCTTGTCTTCAATAAATATTTATTACAGTGTTTATTTTATGCCAACATTATAAACTAGATGTTATGTCTACAATGGGGTTAATCAGATGGACAGTCTGCTCTCAAGAAGCTTCCAGTTTAGTGTGAGAGAAAGGTATTGAAACTGTTATTCCAGGTTTGGAGGATGCTGTGAAGAAGCGCAGGGGAAGCTGATGTACATGAATATTTCATGATGTTATTGAAGCGAAATGAAAATGACTGCTATATTTGTGTTATACCTTAAGTTCAAATGTCAGGGTCAGATGAAATCTGTGATATGTTCTTAACAGTTGGTATCTTTACGTAGAAGCTGTTTTACATTTATATACAAAACAAAAAGAAGCCTCAATAATTTAATTATTGTATTAAAAAGTAAAGCTGTTTGGTGTAATCTCCATCTCTCTTAACTGTTAGGAATGCCTGCTAATCATCTGTACGCTTACACTAGCTGATAAAGTGATTGCTTGTTGTAGAGCTATTATAGGTCTAAGAAATCAGTTTGCTCACCTTTTCGTTGTTGCTGCTGCTTCTGTAGGAAATTCAGTGAACATTATCACTACTTGTGTAAAGCAGTGCATCACCTAGCAACTGTTGACTGCATTTTCTCCCTGGCCAAGGTCGCTAAGCAAGGAGATTACTGCAGGTAATATATTTTTCATTTTCCCCTCTATCAGTGCCTTAGATAAGACGACATTATTCAATTAATTATAGTGTCTTTATTATAAAATATTACAATTACTCAAATGTGTTAGACTCTTGGGAAAGCTGAATGTCATACATATATAGCTTGATTTGAAAATTAAATTCATTTCTTGTTTGCTCTGTCACTGAGTACAATGAAAGCAGATGTTAAAGTTTATGTGGGTGACTTTTTAATAAAGTTTCAGCACTCTTTTCATTTGTTAGCTTTTACTTGAACACTTATAATTATAAAAGTTTGACTAGGCAAGAAAAGACTGAGAAGAATAGAGACTGGGGGGCATTTTAGTGATCTGTTCCTTTTGTTAAGAGCCCATATTCATCCCACTATTCTTTATTGACCTCTAAGCATCCCAACATGGAATATTTATTCTCTTTTTCATAAAGGATGTTAGCACAAACAAATCTAACTTTAACATTCTGGCTGGGCGTGGTGGCTCACGCCTGTAATCCCAGCACTTTGGGAGGCCAAGGCAGACAAGATCAGAAGATCAAGACCATCCTGGCTAACACGATGAAACCCCATCTCTACTAAAAATATAAAAAATTAGCCGGGCGTGGTGTCACGCGCCTATAATCCCAGCTACTCGGGAAGCTGAGGTGGGAGAATTGCTTGAACCCGAGAGGTGGAGGTTGCAGTGAGCCAAGACCATGCCACTGCACTCCAGCCTGGGCGACGGAGTGAGACTCTATCTCAAAAAAAAAATTCAGACAAAACTTTCATACAAGTTGTATGTCTTCCAAAAGCTTGAGTTTATATATACTTAAGAAAAAGTAAGGCTGGGCATGGTGGCTCATGCCTGTAATCCCAGCATTTTGGGAGGCTGAGGCAGAAACGTCTCTTGAAACTGGGCGTTTGAGACCAACCTGGGCAACATATTGAGACCCCATCACTACAAAAATTAAAAAATTAACCAGGCATGGTGATGTGCTGCTTGGGAGGCTGAGGATTCCTTTAGCTCAGAAGTTTAAGGCTACAGTGAGCCATGATAGTGCCCATGCACTCCAGCCTGAGTGACAGAGCGAGACCCTGTCTCAAAAAAAAAAAAAAAAAAGGTACAGTTTAAAAAATATAAAATTAAATAAAGTTGTTCAAGTTCAAATGTTTTATTCTTTCCAGGAAGCATCTAGATTCTTTCCTTCACTGCCATAGATGTCATCAGTATGCTTTCCCCCATCTTTCTTGCTATGCCTGTTCTATCCTACTGTATCTTCCTAGCTCTGTGAGTTATCCTTTGTGTCCTGTTCTACCAGCAAACATTTTGTCATTGTATAATTTTGATAGCAACAGAATAAGTCGATGTAAATTTTAGTGCCGAATAAATCACTTAAAATTTTGTTCCAAAGTGAAAATCTTCCTGGTAAATCATATCAGTGTCATGATTATTACATAATGATTTAACTTGGTAGAGCACCTAGGATTTTATTTTGAAGTTAATGTCACAAATACTTTTATTTTTTTCTTTTACAATGAATTTGTAACCCACCTAGATAAAAAATCTTGTCTTCAGAATTACACTCTAAAATCCAAAAACTATCCTTTTTTCATAACTTTGAGTGTCTTTCTCCAACAGATGATTTCAGATTATTTACTCAGAAGATACTGTAGTCACTTTTTTTTTTTTTTCTTGAGACAGAGTCTCACTCTGTGGCCCAGGCTGGAGTGCAGTGGTGCAATCTCGGCTCACTGCAAACTCTGCCTCCCAAGTTCAACGAATTCTCCAGCCTCAGTCCCCTGAGTAGCTGAGATTACAGGCGTGTGCCACCACGCCTGGCTAATTTTCGTATTTTTGGTAGAGATGGGGTTTTACCATGTTGGCCAGGCTGGTCTCGAACTCCTGGCCTCAAGCAATCCACCTGCCTTGGCCTCCCAGAGTGCTGGAATTACAGGCATGAGCCACAGCGCCTGACCTGTAGTCACTTTCTTTGTAAAATGTGAGAGCATCTGGGATTTTATTAGCCAGATATATTTAAGAATAATAATTTAGGAAAGTAGTATTTGTTGGTGTTATGAGTAAGTTCAGAAATGTGGTTACACTTGAAAGTTCTGAGTCAAAGAACTACAGGAGGTCGATGGTAGGATATTATGCTTTTGAAAAAGACCAACGAATGACCAAGAAACTGATGAAAAGATGTTCAATCTTAGTAATCAGCGAGTGCAAATTAAAACAATGGGATAACGCTGTTTACCTATTTTGTTGACAAACATTAGAAAGTTTAATAATCCAACTTTAGGTGAGGGTATTAGAAAACAAGTTAACTTTCATGTCCTGCTTGTAGGTAGGTAGATTGGTATATATACTGTTATCTATTAAAATAAAAAATATGCATACCCTATGACTTAGGAATCCCACTTTAAAAATTTACTCTAGCTTTGGGAAACACTTGGACGTGTACACGTGGAGATGTTTATAGGATTGTTCATTGCATCATCATTTATAAGTAAGAATTTGGATGCAATCTAAATGTTTAACAGTGGAAAATGTGTAGCAGCTTTGAAAGAATGCTGAATATCTGACAAGAAGTGATCTTCAATATACTTTACCATAAGGGTCTATTGAACCTAACTTCAGTTTCTTAAAGGCCATTTAAAGAACAAAGTTTACTTTTTTCCCTTTAAAAAGGAGAGTAAAACTTACTCTGTCTTACACTTACCATGTGGGTTTATTGGATTCTTTTATAAATGTAAGATGCATTTTGGGATCTTCAGTGATCTTATTTTTTCTATATCTTGGAACATTTTGTTATTTCATCATCCTGAGAATTGTTTTAACATTGTTTATCATTTGTTTCAACTATACTATAAAAGTACAAAATGGGCTGGGTGCGGTGGCTAACGCCTGTAATCCCAGCAGTTTGGGAGGCCAAGGCAGACAGATCACAAGGGGAGGAGATTGAGACCATCCTGGCTAACACAGTGAAACCCCGTCTCTACTAAAAATAAAAAAAAATTAGCCAAGTGTGGTGCAGGCGCCTGTAGTCCCAGCTACTTGGGAGGCTGAGGCAGGAGAATGGCATGAACCCGAGAGGTGGAGCTTGCAGTGAGCTGAGATCACACCACTGCACTCCAGCCTGCAGCCTGGGCGACAGAGCGAGACTCCATCTCAAAAAAAAAAAAAAAAAGTCTAAAATGAAAAGAAAATGGGAGAATGATGATGCAGAAGTGAGGAGAGAAATCACTATCACATCATCCGTTTTCTTATTGTATTGCCCGTGTTACATCATCTTCCAAGAAGGTATAAAAGAAGAATGCAGATGCCACAGTTGGAGTCTGCTTCTAACTTTCATTGAACACAGTTGAAAATTCAGAATTTTTCATTGTTCACCCATAAAGGCAAAGAGAAAAAAATTGACAGAAGGCCTTTCATAATTATTAGGTTCATCAGATGATGAATGTGAAGAGAAAGAAACAGTGCCCTTGATATTCATGGTGATGGTGAAATTTCATGTATCAGCAAAATCTGAGATTCTGAATGCTCAGACAATATCCTAGGTGAATTTTCTCAAACTCAAGGATTGGTGTGTGAATAATGTATTTGTAAGGGCAAAATGAACTCTGTTATTCTCGTCCAGTTAATCATTCAATAGGAAACATTCATCATGTAATATTTGGTGACAAGAACTTGGACTATCCTGTTTTGCTGAAAGATGTGATAGTATTCTTCTATCTTTTATAATATTTATTCATTAAAATTTACTTGATACAATTTATAGGTTATAATTTATAGATAGACAGGAGATTGAAAGGATATAGATGATGTAGAAATAAAGGTACTCATTTGATTATTCTAATTGGTGTTGATAAGTCAAAAAATGAAAATATTTTGCAATTATGGAGCAAAAATGACATCTCTTTAAGAAAATTATAAGCTTTAAAATATTTTGAAAACTTCAAGTATTTGTATTTTCGTTGATACAAATGTGAAAAGAATCAGAAATAATCAGCTCTAGAACCTATTAGAAATGTATTGAAATTTGGAATTTAGTATTTATGAATGAATATGTTCCAGATGCATGCTTGACAGCTGATGAGCAATGACCTTCAGAATGTGTTACCCATTTCAGATATATATGCCTTGAAAACCAGGAGAATATGGAATAAAACTTTGAGATTTACTGTGTTTAAATTCTTATTAAAATCTGTCATGAGGTTGATTTTTTTTTTTTTTTTTTTACTATCCCCTATTCTCATTTCTGTAAAATTATTTGTGAAATGACTTTAAAGGAATATATTATATCCAGATAGTAAATGGTGAAATCTATTTTTTAGGTATGTACTGAGAGTTAAACTATTGAATTTTTTAAATTACAGAGTAATATATTACAGTATGACTTTTCTAAGGAAATCAGAACCAGTATGATGCATACATAAACATAAATGCACAGAAGAAGGTTGGAAAAGGTAGACAGCAAGCTGGTCTAAGTAGTAACATCTGGGAAGGAGAGCTGAGAGTAAGGCAGGGCTCAGAGGGTCTTGACTACACAGCTAAAGCTGTAGATAAAACAGATATAGAGGTCTTTAAAAAACTTAAAGAACAGCAAGGCCAAAATATGATTCTTGTATCCAAGTAAAAGATACAAAAGACCATAGAAAGATGTTTTAATGAAACAACATATGAAAATTTTAGGTCATTTCGTTTCCAAGTCCAACACATAGTTTAATAATTACATCTAGAAATAATTTTATGTGATTTGCTTTATTATATTCATTAATGAAAATAAGTAGCAATAATCTGAACTGTTATCTTTACTAGTGAAAATATTGGTTTGATCTTAAACAATAATAGAAAAATGAAAAATAAAGCCCAGCATGGTGACATGCACCTATAGTCCCAGCCTCCTGAAGAGGCTGAGGCAAGAGGATCACTTGAGCCCAGGAGCTTGAGGCTGTAGTGTGCTATAATTGTGTCTGAATAGTCCCTGCACTCCAGCCTGGGCAGCACAGTGAGACCCTGTCTCTTAAAAAAAAAAAAAAAAAAAGGTAAACTACAAGGGTGAAGCCATTTATAAGACTCTTCTAAAGTATGTGCTTCATTGCACAATTATTATAATAAATATTTTCCCAATTTTTATTTTATAGTTCAAATTTAACTTTTATACTCAAGGTTTTATTCTGGACATATGTTCTTAAAATCTATGTGTAAAGTTTTGTTTTCTGTGGTACAAACAGTACTGAAATTTTTCATGCTGTCTTAGTTTTTTTTTTTTTTTTTTTTTTAAGGCTATTTCCATGCTTAGTAAATTGAAACATATTTCTTTTTGCAGACCAACTGTACAAGAAGAAAGAAAAATCATAATAAAAAATGGAAGGCATCCTGTGATTGATGTGTTGCTGGGAGAACAGGATCAATATGTTCCCAATAGTACAGATTTATCAGTAAGTACCATATAATACAAAACAATAAGTCAACATAACATCCCAAACTTTTAAATATGAAAGAAACATTTTTATAATTAAAAGTTACCCAAATTTCAACTTTGGCTTTAAATGGGCTAAGTCTGGACATAGTTTTATATTTACCATGAAATGTGGAATTGGTGCTATTTCCAATGAAAGATTATCAATAGTTTTAGTAACTAAAAGTTTAGTTCTAATTAGTTATCCTAAGTAACCCAATAAAAATATTTTACATTTGTAAATACCCAATATGCAAATAGAGTTGGAATAATACCATAGTTTTTGCAAATTCATATTAGCATGTAGTGTTCCATCCTTTGTACTGTGACTATTTTCAGATGTTCCGTGAAAGAATCAGAGATGCCTTTGCAGATTCCAGTGATGAGAATTTTCATTATAGGGGCTGTATTTCTCTTACATAACACGAATGATCCTGAATACTTAATTTATTTAACACGTACTTACTGAGTGCCTGTGTCTCAGGTAATGAAGCGAGTATTAGGAACAGAGAGTGGTAAGCAAGACAGAAGTCTTCCCTGCCCTCACAGAGCTTGTTGTATAGCAGAGAAGACAGGCTAGTGCAATACAGCTTAGTGCATGGCATGTTGGAGGAGACCAGGATGGCCTGGGGATAGGTAGCAGGTTGACCTAACCCACGGGCAGGGAAGCATTGAGGAATGTTCCCCAGGGATGAGATACCAACTGAAGAATGAGTCAGTGCAAGCCATGGTATTGTTAGGGGAGTATTCCAGGTAGAAGAACCAGCATGGCAGTTGTTGGAAGTGAAGCATAGCAGGATGAATTCAAGGAACTGAAAGACGATGAGTGAGGTTGGAGTGCAGAGTGTAAAGAAAGAAGTGTTCAGAGATAAGGAAGAGGCCAGTTTACTTATATGAAGAAATTTACATTTTTCCCCTTAAAAGATTAAGCATACTAGCAAGAGAGTGATAGAAGCTGGGGAAAAATAGTGAAGTGGTGGCAGGGTGTGTGAGTTCCATTGTCAAAGCTAAATGGAGCTGGGCACTGAAGTGGTAAGGATTGATCTTATTCAATAATACTCCTGCAGTAGGGAAGAGTCCGGTGTGAATTGAACTTGACTTCATTTTGGCATAGATGACTGGGTGTTTTAAAGGGAGTATGAGGGAACAGGGAAAGGGAATGAGCTGGGGGAGGAGAGCGAGTGAGGTGTGGTTATGTGAAACCCATGTGGGTTTACTAATTGTTTGCTAATACCACATTTCAAAGAGTCAGCTCTCTGGTCCTTAAAAAGACAATTTTGGGTGATAGATTTACATCCCAAAGGGGCAGAAAAAGTCTTTATAATTGCAAGCTTTCTAAGGTAACTGTTCTAAGAAGGGCTTCAGCATCTGGCTGCCTGTCACCAAATTTTGACTGGAATGGTGAATCCTGGCAGCACCAAGCTTTCTCAGGCAGGTACTTTTAGTGGGGCTGGGGTCATCCTAAGGATGCAGCCTTGAGCTGTTAGAAACTATGCTAGTGGGCTTGCTTCTGAGTAGGGAGGGTGGACAAAATCATTTTTACTCAAAGTCTGTAGGTTTTTATAGGTCAAAGTTGAGAACTAGTCCAGAATAGGGCTCAGAGAAACCTGATGAGAATTTGGTCAAGGACATGGGGTAAAATGGGATGGTGATGGGTCAAAAAATTAATATGTAGGGAGTAGTTATGTGAGAGAGAAGGTATCAAAGAATAAAATGCCTGACTTTCGGATATCAGATGTGGTGGTCTTCTGGGTGATGGCAAGATCCTATGTATGGCTATAGAAGGTGGGTAGCAGAAGGGAGAAGGTCTTTGGAGATGAAGAGATCAAGGAACAGAGTTTGGGAAAAAGTTGTCCACGTGAATGTTGAAATCTAAGATAACAGCAAGGTAAGCCATAGAGGACAACAAGGATCCAGGTGTCCGAGATTGCAAGGAATGGTGATTGGGATTTGTGAAGTTTATAGATGGCTTAGATTGAAGACAGACAGTGGTAAAGCCCTAAGGAAGCAAAGAAGAACTTCTGAACCCTGAACCCTGAGGTATATGGTCCATGGTTGGATGTGGCAGAAAAAGGTCAGCCCCCAAATGAGGGAGCTGCAGGGGAATAACAAACAGCCAGCCAGGTTTCATTTTAGTATATGAAGGAAATGTTAAGCAAGGTGGTTAGAAACAGAAGTACTAAGGAATTTTTCTGAGGACAGTGAAAAATTGAGATGTAGGGGAGCATTTGGAATGTAGGTCAGAGAAAGCTCAGAATAGTAGTGAGCTGGGACTGTAATAGAGTATTCTACCTCGGGCTGTGAGTAAGGGTGGCAGAGATGTGTGGCATTGTGCATTTGGCTGGCCATGAGAGGGAGATGTGAAAGGAAATACTTTGAATGACATCTAGTTTAATATTGCATTTTCATATCGTAACAAGACTTGTTGGTAGTATATAATGCATGTCTTAGTCTGTTCAGCTTCTGTAACAAAATATCATAGACTGAGTAGCTCATAAACAACAGAAATTTATTTCTCAGAGTTCTAGAGACTGGAAAGTCGAAGATCAAGGTACCAGCAGATCAGTTTCTGGTGAGGGCCTGTTTCCTGGTTCCTAGATGGCACCTCACATGGTGGAATGGGTAAAGGGTCTCTTACCCATGTACTCACACAGTGGAAGGGGTAAGGGGTCACTCTCAGGCCCTCATGAACTTATCATCTCCTGAAGGCCCCATCTTCTAATACCATTGCCTTGCGGGTTAGGATTTCAACATACGAATTTGGGAGAGATACAAATATTCATACCATAGCAACCTAAGACCCGGTGTCTATAAACCTGTTCATTCGTATTAGGAAATTTTTATATTTATTAATCAAACAAGTTAGTAAGTACCAATCTTTTTACTGTCTTTAAAAAGACTATGTCTTTGGGAGGCCTAGGCGGTAGGATCAGTTGAGCTTAGGAGGTCGAGACCAGCCTGGCCAACATGGCGAAACCCTGTCTCTGCTAAACATATAAAAATTAGCTGGGCATGGTGGCGCCTCCCTGTGATTCCAGCTACTCGGGAGGCCGAGGCAGGAGAATTGCTTGAACCTGAGAGGCCACTGCACTCTAGCCTGAGCAACAGAGCGAGACTCTGTCTCAAAAAAAAAAGAGACTATGTCAACATAAGAATTTTTTTTCAGTTCTCATAATACCAGTAGGATATGGCTTTTCTTGAGAAAGTAATGTAAGTTAAATATAAACTAAGCAACTAAATATTAGGACTATAAGTCTCTTAAAATAATTTCCTGTTACTGTTTCCATGCCCATCTACTTGACCCCAAGAATATTACCCCAAGAAATTGACTTCTTTCTTTCCTTTTTCATTCTTTTCTTTTAAAAAGTAAGTTACGCTTTAATAAAACAAGATTTGAAGAACTAAAATAGCCTTCTGTCTAATTACAATAATGTTTTAAAGAACATTGAACTCTTATATTTAAATCTTTACAAAATAAATGGAGTAATTTTTTTTCCAAGCAGGCATCTCAGAATATTCCAGAATATTCGTTTCTATTACATATGCTTTTTCTAACTTGAGTAGGAGTTGATATAGAACTGTTGCTATGGTGAAGTGCATTCTATTTTTCAGGGTAAAAATTTATATATAGGGATAGTGTTGAGAAAGAACTTACGTAAAATTCAATTTAAAATATTTTATGAATGTTAATTATAAAATATACCCTGAAAATAATTTCAAAGTTAAATGACATTGTTGTTTTTGATAATCATGGGGTTTTAAGAACTGGTGTTTTGTAAATGTAATTAAGCGTATACTTTTCTGTATTCTGTATTACGTGAACTTATTATAGTGCTTCTGAATAAGCCAACTTTCTGCCCGCTTTTCCTCTCCCAGTTTTAAGAATACTTTTTAAAACCCTCTTTCTTTTTTTCCTCTTCCTTGATTCACTGTATAATCCAAGCATTTATACATGTGGTCACCACTGGAGCTTCCTCCTCCACTCTGCCCACCTCCATAGATTCTCTACTCTGCAGCCACAAGGCTTCTGGAACCTGCCATGCCACTCTCCCTTTTGAATTCATGCTTCACACTCCAGCCAGATTGGAGTTCATGCCGTTCCCAAGTCACTGTGCCTCTGGAACTTGGCAGATGGTGTTCCCTCTGCCTAGAATGTCATCTTTCCCCACCCCAACCACTCCCGCCTCACACACTCCCACATCCACCCACCAATCACCCACCCCACTCCCCAGCTCTGGCTTGTTCAAGTCTTGCCTTGCATGTCAGCTCTTGCACTCAGCCTTCCTTTGCCCAGCTGGGATGGGTAGCCCTCTCACATACCCTTGCCACTCTGTTTCTCCACATCTCAGTACTTATTCCGCCAAATTATAATCATTCTGTTTTTTATCTGCCTTTCCCAGTGGACTGTAAGCATGAAGCAAACAGGGACTGTACTCTGTCACCTATGTGTAATCCCTGGATCGGTCACAGTTCTCTGGCACATAGCTGGCACCTAATCAGATTGATTAAATCAGTAAGGATTAGCTAGAAGCCTTTAGCAGTCTCCAAGTCTCACTTGAAATTTTTGCCTTTTATTTTCTACACAAAATGTTATTTTTCAGGATATTATATGGGGATTTCCCCAATTTACAGAATAATTTTACTGTCAAACTAAAAGGGAAATTTGGGATCTTTTAGTGTAACCACCTCTTCATACTTCTGAGTAAACTATGGTTCAGAAAGGGGAAATGATCTGCCAGAAGTTACTCAGGTTGCGTTGTCTTGAACTCTTTCCCAAAACATAAACATATTTTAAGGCAAGCCAGTGCTTTCCAACCTTTTTCACTTTGCATCATACAGAAAATGATAATATTTTAGTGGAACACTGGATTAAAAGGAGAAGGAAGAGGTTGCTCAGACGCCAAGGAGGCTGGCCCAGGGACTGTGGCTGGCCCAGGGACTGTGGCTGCCCCAGCCCCACCTGCCACCTGTGGGTTAAGG